AGCAATGTCTCCTGCCCCCTCACCTCCCTCCCCGGGTCCCCTGAGTTTCCCCAACGCAGTCCAGGAAAACTCCCGTTTATTTAATGCATTTTTAAAAGAACGAATAAATACCTGGGAAAACTCCGAAAGGAGACATTGCTGCCAGTTGTGCATCAGCAGTAAAACTGTCCTGTAAACGTCCTTCCTCGCACCTTGGTTTTCAGGACTATTTCTGGCCTGTGAGTTGAGACACTTTTAAAAAGCCTTTGGCCCTGTTTCTACGGCACAGCGCTCAGCGTCCCAACCTGGGCTTCTTCAGCGCGACCTTGTGGCCCTGTTGGACTTGGGGTCCGCACAGGTAGGGGGCTGCGGCGTGCATCCTGCTCCCCACACTGGACGTCATCCCTGCCCGCTGCTCGGTGGCTCCAACCCGCAGCAACAGCCGGGAAAACTCCGCGCGGCCCTGGCCACTGAGACAAGACAGGTGTTGACCAGGTGTGAGCCCGACAAGCTGAGCTGGGGCAGGACACCGTGAGAAATCCTGTTCCAGTGACTGGGCAACAGGAAGGAGCTTTGATCTTCTCTTGTTGAAAGTTTTTAAAAATCGACACATTCTAACGGTGGTCATTTGGCAACTTTAGTGAAACAAGGTGTCTCTTTTATCAAACAAGTAAAACCTTAGAAGTCTAGCAGGAGGCAGGTGACATGGGAAAGTGTGAGATTACTGGTGTCCCGGACTAGCCCTGCCTCCGGCTGTGGTCCACCCGGCTCTCACATAATATTATGATGGATTTTCAGGGCCTACAGCTGGCCCCTCCTGAGGCAATCACACTTCCCATTGCAGCCTCCAGTGCTGGTCCTGCTGTATGTAAAGGTACTCAGCTCGTCACCAAAATAAAGGGATTTTCTTTCGCCCAAGTCACAGCACCCTCCGCCTGGGGGAACGCACCCTTGAGAGAAGGCTGTTTTTAAAAATAATTGATCTCAGTAACTGGAGACAGGTGACTAGAGAGAGTCTCTTTCTAGTTCCAAACTGGGGTGATAGGAGAGCGCAGAACGTGCCCCAGCTGACCACCTCCCTTACTAATCAAAGTCGGTATCTGAGTGATAGTGAAGCAATCGTGCCCTAGAAAAAAGTTTTGACGTTTGGGGTAGGATGGAAACTACAAAGGTTTGCAGGTTCCAGGTCACCTTAGACTCTAGGTGAGGGGCCCAGCAAATGGAAACACGAACAATAATCTATTTAGAATGAGACTAGCTCGATGTCTTCATTTCCTACCTCTTGTNGCTCTCACATAATATTATGATGGATTTTCAGGGCCTACAGCTGGCGCCTCCTGAGGCAATCACACTTCCCATTGCAGCCTCCAGTGCTGGTCCTGCTGTATGCAAAGGTACTCAGCTCGTCACCAAAATAAAGGGATTTTCTTTCGCCCAAGTCACAGCACCCTCCGCCTGGGGGAACGCACCCTTGAGAGAAGGCTGTTTTTAAAAATAATTGATCTCAGTAACTGGAGACAGGTGACTAGAGAGAGTCTCTTTCTAGTTCCAAACTGGGGTGATAGGAGAGCGCAGAACGTGCCCCAGCTGACCACCTCCCTTACTAATCAAAGTCGGTATCTGAGTGATAGTGAAGCAATCGTGCCCTAGAAAAAAGTTTTGACGTTTGGGGTAGGATGGAAACTACAAAGGTTTGCAGGTTCCAGGTCACCTTAGACTCTAGGTGAGGGGCCCAGCAAATGGAAACACGAACAATAATCTATTTAGAATGAGACTAGCTCGATGTCTTCATTTCCTACCTCTTGTCACCTGTGGTCTCTGTCACATAACAGCTCTCGGTGTTTAGAAGGATCCACATGTCCTCACACATGACCTCACTTCGTGCACAGTTTTATTCCGTTTTATTAGTTGATGTTTAGATAAATAGAAATATCTTATATACCTATCTATATAGAGATATCTATATATATATCAATATATCTCATTTTACCTTATACATCTATGTTATAGATATCTTATATATAAACATCTTACTATAAGTATGCAACATGTAAGTAAATTTTTAAATGATATTGATCTAAGAAAAGAAAGCACAGACTCCCCCATCAGAACACAAAAGGGAACTATTGTGAGGTACCATTTTTTAGAATGTATTTGATTGGCAAAGATAAGAAGTGTAATAACACACTGTGTCAGTGACTAGGAATAAAGTCTCATAAGCTCCCCGGGGAAAGTTACACTGGTCAAGTCTCTGCTGAGGACAAAGACGGTATTATGAAAATAACACACAGGCCGCTGGCCTCAGCTCACAGGCCGCTGGCCTCAGCACGAGGCTATGTTTTGTGCGGTGTCTTCGGCAGGCACCACGCCCGCACACTGAGACTCGACGCAGCCTCCAGAGCTGGAGGGAGGGGGTCTCGGTCGTGATGAATATCTTCATTCCAGGTCAGCGTTCTGAAACCGGCCAAGGTGATAGGGTGTGCGTCATCCAGTGTTTCTGGGACTTAATTGATCAGCCTCCACATTCCTGGTGGCCAGGCCTGGAATTTCAGGGCCTGAAAGTTTCTTTGTTCTTGCCTGGTCATCTGAGAACTGCAACAAAATCTTAGCCAGAACATGAGGTTAAACATGTACCATTGATTAATCAGTTACACATTCTGTTAGTAAAAAGGAGAGAAAGGAAAAAGAAAGGAAGAGAAATTTAAAAAATCATATATTTATGTTACCCTTGTACACTTGTCAGGGTCTGGGGCCTTCACTTACATGGCACATCAGGAAGGTGCTGCAGTAAACCACTGTCAGCGTCATCAGGGAGTGACCACGGGTGGAGCGGGGCCCAGGCACCCCCTGACCCTGCCATTGTGACGTGTCACAGAAGGGTGACTCCACAGAGGGGCCCAGGCACATCAGGATCAGCTCACTCCCAGTTGCCCCCTGACTGAGAAACTCCAAGAAGCAAGAAGACAAAGAACCAGCCCAGCCCACTATGTGTGTGTCCTGTTTCCAATGAGAGAAAGACAGAAGACAAGTGGGACTCTCCCTCCTGCCGGCCATCTGTCACATCTGTCACCTGGGATGAGTGGAAGGCCGGAGCCGATGCCACAGGGCCCTCAGGGCCCGTCGGAAGAAGCCAACAGGAGCTCCAGCGTTCATGCTCTGGTCCAGGGGCATGAGAACCCGGATGCCCACAGGTGTGTAACTTTGCAGAACGAGTCCCATCAGATCTTGTCATACCGGCTGCGTCCTAGGGCTTCTGTTTACTTGGAAAGTAACCCAGTAAGAACTTTTCTCCTTTTCAGAGATGATTTCCTAACGTTTGCTCTGAAGGCTTCCCTCGACCACAGAGCTGTCTGTGGTAGGCCGGCTTTCTGTAGGCCGGAGGTGTTCAGATGAATTACAGAGGGCCGGAGACAGGGACGATGAAGGAGAAGCCACCCGTTTAAAAGAATGAACCTCTTGTCTTTCTCTGACTGGCTTATTTAACTCAGCATAATACCAAGACAAATACCATATGATTTCACTTACATGTGGAATCTAATGAACAGAATAAACAAAATAGAAACAGACCCACAGATACAGAGAACAGACTGACAGCTGTCAGAGGGGTGGGGGGGGTGG